GGGTGGCTGGTCAAAGCGAACCAAGTCCAGACTGGAACTGGTGGTCACAGTGGTCAGCCCTCTGGGAATCCAGCGCCTTTAAGCACAACCCCACCTGTGCCCCCTGCCTTTCCAAATCTTAAAAAGACAGACTGGGCGGCCAGCAGGTGGCATGGTGCTTAAGGAACTGGACTACCACATGGTCGACCATGGTCGGAGTCCACCATGGCTTGAAAATCATTCCGGTTCCTGCATGCCCAAATCCGGAGAGGAGAATGGAGAAGGAAAACAAAGGATTGCAGCATGGCCATGCGCAGTTGGAGGGGGAGACAAATTTCTCACTTTCCCGCTCTCTGTCTCTCTCCAGCGAACATACCTGCCCTATGGCAAATAAATAAATCATGAATGAATGAATGAATGAAAAAGGCGGACTAAACCCAAGCCTCCGACCTGTTCCCACACCTGAGGAAGAAATATTCGGTCCTTCTTTCTCTGGGGTCTGGGGACCAAAGCCCTGAGGCCCTCAGAAGGTAGGTCCTCAAGGACACCTGGAATCTCAGAAGAATGAAGAAACAGGAGGCTTCTAGTCCCTGGAGACGAAGGAGGGCTCTCCCAGGCCTCAGAGAATGTGTGAGGACTCACTTTGCGTTCACTCCTGAGACACCGAAAGGCTGGGGCCCACACCCATGCCAGCCATCCGGGAGCCGCGACGCCAGCCCACCGGGAAGGGCCCGGATGCTTTGCCCTCTAAGCCGCCGCTGGGCTTGGGCCCAGGCTGCGCCAGGGGCTGCGACGCCTAGCCAGCCCGCGGGGAAGTACCCGGATGCTTCGCCCTCGACCCCGGGCTTGGGCCTAGGCCGCGCCGGCACGCGGGGAAGAGCCCGGATGCTTCACCCTCCACACCGGACTTGGGCATAGGCCGCGCCGGGGTCTGCGACGCCTGCACACGAGGAAGGACCCGGATGCTGCTCCCTCCGTGCTCTGCGCGGGTACCAGGGCGAAGATGAAGGGAAAGGCAGCTTTTGGGGACGGTTCCGAGGAGAAAGCGGAGTAACCAGGAAAAGGAAGCCCACTTAACCTCGGGGGCGCGCGGCCGCGAAGGGTTTAGGCAGCGCCTCAGCACCTCGCAGCAGCGCAGCCGGCGTGACGCGGGCGCTGTTCCCAGCTCGGGGCTGCACCGCAGAGCCGGAGTTCATGAGGCCGCCGCTGCCCCAGCGACCCGATCGCGCGAGCCGCGCTTTTTCCGAGGTTCCGACGGCTGCTCCCTACGCGTCGGGAAAGCAGGATTTGATTTGTCCCTCAATGCAGAAGTCTCACTTTACCAGAACAGTGTTGCTACTATGGGGGCAGGGCCTCACCTACCGCTTTAGTCACTGCTTTCTGCATTCTCATTATAGAGCTGTGGTGGTTTTTCTTCTAAAACAAAGCAGGTGATAATTTGTAAAATGCCCAGTGAGGCTAAAAAGTATTTCGATTTAAAAAAAAAAAAAAAGAGAGAGAGCGAGCGAGGCTTCGTTCAATATTTTTTTTCTTTATTTTCTGTTGCAAGGAGTTGCTTATTGTCTTCCTGACCCATTTACTACCCAAGCCTAAAATGAGAACACAAAACAATCTGATTTCTATAGATTAGTTTTGTGACTAGATGTTATATCAACACATTTTTAGTAAGAGTAAATTTTAATGGGCTGTTTAAATAATTGAAGACATGTTTTAGTTCTGTCTGGAAATGTTGAAAAAGAAACTAGTCTTTTCATTTATTTCCAATATATTCAAAATTCAGTCTTTCGAGGATATTTTGCAGGATATAATTGGGATTTAGGGCTGAAAAAAAAGCAAAGTGTTCATAAGCTGATGCATACAAAATACAAATTGCTTGATCGCTGTTTGGTTTACAGTTCTATAATCAAGGTCAGCTTTATTTGATGGTTATTTAAAAATAAGGCACTAAAACGCTAAGGATGTCAGTTCAGCTCTTCAAACACTGACAGCCACTGGTGTCCCTTTGGGCAACAGGTTCCATTGACATCAGTAAAATCCCACCGGAATGAGATGAAGGAGAATGTGAAAAGTTATCTTGCAAGGAAACTACTTTTGGGCTTGAGGTGTGTGTGTGTTTGAAACATGAGTGAGTCATGGAGAAATTAAAAAGTATAAATCATAACAATTCAGGAGGCTAGCTGTGCCACAAATCAGATCAGAAAAAGGTAAAGGATTCAGGATTAGGACTCCTCTTGAAATGTTCCTTGCATCTTGAAATTCTTTCTAGCTGATACTGATTTACAATTTAATGGTGATCACACTTGGATGAGGGCAATTCACCTTTCATTTCTTCTTACTTAGTCTAGATTTAAAGACAAAACATGTATGTGTGTACATGTTGAATTTTACCTACTCTATTTTTATACTTTAAGAACATGTATATTTAAAGGAAAGTAGCTCAGCATTTTATTATTTGAATCTGAGGGCCAAAACATTCAACTGAGAGACTATTTTCAAAGATTCAGTAGTCCTCAAAATCGAGACTTTACTGCGTGGGTAGCCAATAAGACAGAAGTGGAAAAAATTAACAATGTCCAAACAAATCACATAGAATAAATTAGGGTAAGGGAGACAAAATCGAATCATGATTTTAGAATTAAGTGTGCTGGATTCAGGTGCTAAGAAGCTACCCTAGTTTTTATTTAGGAACTAAGAGTACTGATACTATATGCCCTCAGTCATATTATCCCTCCTCCAGGTGCCTTTTCCTGACCCATAAATTGAGAAGTTGAGTGAATTGGTCCCTTCCAATTCTGATCATCTAGAAGCAAGGAGTCCTAAGGCTTTGTGTGTTCTCAAAAATGCAAACACAAAGAAGGTTATCTATGACAGGGGTCACCAAAGTGAGTAGCTTATCTGATACTAACTTGTGTTCTTGTGTGTATTGAAAAGCCATAGCATGTTTAAGAGAGAGAGATTTTACAGTCTCATTCAATATAAAGGAGGATGCTGTCTATGTACTGATTTCAAAATTTTAAAACAGAAGGGTTGCCTGTCTCTCAAAATACTGAATTAAAGACAAATACCTAGAGCTTCTACTTCAAAAATGATTGTTCTTAAGGAAGAAACACAATAGCAGTGACTATTTTTCATAGGCGTGCTCAGCCATCAGGAAAGCTTAATAAATCCCCATTTAGTATGCATTTATGCAGTGATTACATGAACTTTGACCTCTGAAGAGCTGTAGCAATTAGCTTCAGTGTCCAGCATCTTCTACCAGCCATTCCCCACTGGCTTCCTTGAGTCTTCCTTTTTCATCTCTCAGTAGTTTATGCAATAGGATGACATACAATTTTAAAGTTGACTTTCCACTTGGGGTATTTTCTTCTACAAAAGCCAGTTCCCCCTTCTCTCACTCCTATTCCTGTCTGAATAGCCATCTCAGATGGCTATTGGGGTTCTGATCATTGATATTACTCAAACACGAATGGATTTCATTTCAATTTTGCCCTAAACTTTTACAAAGATTAACTCTAAAGGCCCAAAGAGCTTCATTTTATAGCTCCTGATATCTAAAATAAACCAGATCTCTTCTGTCAGACTAATTAAAGTTTTGTATAATATTTAATGTAATTTATTTTAAGTCAAATAAAACCTAGCGGATTAGCAGAAAACTGGAGAAGGGGGCAGGAGAAGAACAGCTGGAAGCTTTTTAAAAAAGAAGTAGAAGGAAGAAAAGAAAAGAACCTGGAGGGGAGAGGAAAGTGTTTTAAGTTTCTAGTAAACATTGTTTAGCAAAAGAATAATAGGAAAGTTGCCCCTTTCCCAAAGAGGGATGGAACTATAATTGTTGCCTTTAGCTGAGAGCTGAGATAAACCGCTGGGACTCATTCTAGAGTGACCCATCACTGCATTCATCTCTTCTTGAACTTTCGGTGAACCTGAGATTAAACAGGGGTGAGCAGCTAAGCAGTTTGTTGTTAGCAGCCTTTTCAACAACCCTTTCAGACTGAGTAAATATTGATCGGTTTGAATCTGATTGCCCCAGAGGAAAACAGCACCGCATCTGAATAGCCTCCCAAAAGTAAACTTTCAAAGGTGAAGCCCAGAGCAGACTTCAGAGCCACTGCAAGACCTCAGCTCATCCCAGTTTGGAGACACCCTGAGTTTTAAGAGTACTTTGGAAGAATATGGAGGAAGAGAGGAAAAAGCTTTTGAACACTGGAATTGTATACCGCAATTATTCCAGGTCCCCTGATTGAGACTCATTTCCTTTCTGCTTTATCAATAAAATGTTATTTTCTGTTTTCCCTCTTTATGTCATTTCAGTTACCACTGCCGTCATTTTTCAAGGAGCTAACTGTACTCCTCAGAGACCAAGCAAGGGGGGGTGGGGGGGAGAACCTTGAGATAGAATGTGTGAAGACCATTTGATTTAATCGATTGGGCAAGCTAAAAAGCTAC